CCCCCCCCCCCCCCGCTGGATCCGCCACTGATTACAGAAAATGAATAATGATAACTTTTTAACATCTATATGCTACTCACCTTACAATATTTCAATCAAGTAATGATTAATATCGTAGGGGTTTTTGTTTTGCATGACTTAAATGCTTCTAAAGTTTCAATATAATTCCCTAAGTAGTTCTTAAGAAATGTGAAAAAATGAGTTAGTATAAAATAGTTTCCATTATTTTGTCCAACTCTTGTATGTCATGTGAGCAAGGATTTACACATAGAGTACATGATTCGTTATTCGGAGCAAGAGTTACTCTACTTTATTGATCTGTTTGAAAACCAGGGGGAAATTTAAAATAATCTTGTGTAACTATAATTTGTGGCATGGCAGCCGTGGGCAACAATTCTTTCAATTATTTTTAACAATTTTCATATTTTTCCTAACTAATTCATACATGCTCAAGGTTTCTTTACAAATTTAGTTTGTTGAAATTTTGAATGCCCTCAGTTTTAATGACACAGAAAATAAACAAATATTTAAGTTTTTATTGTGCTATAAGACACAAATACATATTTTAATAGGCTTCACTAGAAACAGTGTTAAGAAATTTAATTGTAATAAAAAATACTTGAATGAAAATACATATATTAACAATGCAAATAACTGTATTTAAGTACAAGAATTATAGCTACAACAAAAGCAGAAGAAAAAAAAATCGATATATTCTTTTAAGAATGTCTATTATTAAAAAAATATTTGTAGTAATACTTGTATGAATATTCTCTGATGCAAACAACAATATCCAGTATTATTTATAGTGATGCTAAATATTATTTACTAGATTTTAAGTACAAACATATCTACAAAGTTCATATCATGTACATGCTGAGACTACAGGCATTTCTTATAAATATGATACATATTTATTAATACTAAGACTCACAAGGCAAAATTCTGGACTTTATAACATGGCAGGGAAAAAAGTTGGCCAATAAAATTTTATAAAATAGTTTTTAAATCTAAAAAGACATTTTTAAATTTAAAAACTATTAGTACTTTCTATAAAGTCAAGTGTTTTTATCTGTTTAATACAAGATACAAAAAAAAAATATATATAAAAATTAAATTTCTTGGTTGAATTGAGTCTTTGATTTATTATAAAATACTGACAAAATTATATTACAAGGGTTTCATTATGTTGTAAGAATAGAAAGATTAGAGTAAAAAACAATGAGAGTAAAAAATGTTCTTTATTGTAGACTGTTCTTATTTTTGAATATTTATACATATCTCAAACACTTGATCTGAACTCAGATTCAATGTGAATAAATATTACACGTGAAAAGCACTGAAACTGGAAGAAAAAGATTTTTTATTCTTTGTTTCATGTTGAATATTTGGATAGCTCAACTTTTTCATTTATCTTATCTTTAGTCAGCTCAGCGCAAATTTTTGTGTACTCTAAGCTTCAAATAATGGATTACAAAATGGATAATTTAGTGCTTAAGTTATTTTCCCAATATTTGACTTCACTAGAGTATTAAGTATATAAGGTATATATAAGGTAAGGTAAGGTAAGGTATTTCACTAGAGTATATAAGGTATTTTTGTTGTATTCATGCTTTTATAAAATATATAAATAAATTTAAAAAAATTCTTATAGTTACTAAACAAGAATTAGTTAATTTTTTTTTACATTTAATGTATTAACTATTTTGTTATTGTAAAAAAGTCAATACTTAAATTAATCAGCAATTCTTTTTTCTGTTATAAGATATTAGGTAGTGTTACATCAGAACAATAAGCATGAAATAACTTCCCCACAAGTCATGTAGTGCGGCAACAACAAAAAAACGGTCCACTCTGAATAACTTATGATCTAATGATCATATCTTCACGTTCTAGGAAACTTCCTAATAGTTCAATGCTAATTAATTAGAGCAAACCATATTTTAACTTACCAAACTAGACAGAAAAACATACCGTTTTTGACGGATTCGGATTTCTGACCAACAAAATATAATGTAGCTGCAATCTGGGAAAGATGGTAACCCTTAACGCTAATTTAACTTTTTACATATTTTGTTGTATTACGAGAAATTTTAAAGTGAATTGAAAATTTTTTGCACACAGTTGTAAAATTCGTTTATCCAAAGATAATTCCATGCAAAAAATAAATTTCAGTAAAAATTTATTATTTTTCCTTATTTTATAAAATAATAGTCGAAAAGAATTTTGATTCGTAAGGTATACAATCATTTGCATCATTTTAAAGTATGTAATTTTATATAGGTTGGTCGAAAGTTCCTGTGAGAAACAGAATTTTAAAAAAGTCAAATACTTAAAATTCGATTTCTCAAGAACTATTCGACTGATTTTGCTACATAAAATTACATTCTTAAAAATTATGCAAAAAATTGTATACTTTATTACAATTAATAATTTTTTTGGCCAATCTTAAATATAAATATTTACTAAATGTTATCTTTTGCATAGAATTATGTTTGGATAAACGAATTTTATAATTGTGCTAAAAAAAATTTCGATTCGCTTTAAAAGTACTCAAGATATGGTGAGATACGCTAGAGGCCATTAAGGGGTCCAAACTCAGGTTCACTCCCGAGATTGCGGCTACCGCCTATATTTCGAAGGTCAGACATCCGCGAATAAAATGTTTGTTTATTTACAGATAGCATGTTTTTGTGTCTGATTTCATAACTTAAAGTATCATCTGCACTTATTAATTAGCTTATTTGAGCTATTAAGATTGAGTTCTAGAACATGAAAATCCAAAAATTAGATCAAAAGTTATTCATTGTAGTCAGCCAAATTGAATAGATTTTTATTCGTATTTAATACCTTTTGTCTCCCTTTCAACTATCAAATGTTAGATGAGACCATGAAGGGAGGCTTGCTAATAGGTTTGATGATATAAGTAATAAACTTTAGTTTTAAAATTCCAAATGAATTCCTTTCCAACTTCCATTAAAGTGATATTTAATTTGCATAAATTCAATTTAAGGCTAATAAACAAATATTTACATGTTGTATTTTTAAAAAATAGAATATATTAAGAATGCAGTTTTTACAAGAAATTCTTCACATAAATCTTTGGATCTTATCACAAAAGATGGCTTTTCCATCAACAGTAGAATGCCAATTTTCTTTTAAATATAACTTTGATTAAAATGTGCTGCAAATTAGTAATTCTATTGTACATAATACCAAAAAAATTATCCACTAAAGTGGATAATAATATTAAGCTGTTAAATAGCAGTAATGAAGAAAAGTAATTTAAACTATGCATGAGCAAAATGAGCTCTAACAGACAAATATTAGGAACGTTGGAATGAAAATTGTAATTATTAAATGTTATTATACAATAAGAAAAAACATATCACAATAAACAGTAAAGCGAACATTTAATTTCCTTTCATTTTACAACACAATTCATAGTTTGACACCATTTTTAACAATAATTCAACTAAATTATTGCTTTGAATTTAGGACAGGAACTAATCACAAAATATTAAATCAAAATGTAACAGCACTATATTACAACTGCTTTCTTTTCCAGTGCAAAGTTGGCTAAAATCTTGATGTACAATATAAAGAAAAATTCGTATTTGATTGAAAAATAAACTAGTATTATTTTGTACACCTATAAATTTGTTCATTACTTTAATGTATGATGTAATTTAGCCTGCATTAAATCCAAAACTCTCAGCTGTTTTAGCCTGAGCTTTTGCTGCCAACAATAGTGAATACAAATGAGCAAGTTCAGTTTCAGTATGTGCAACTTCAACAGCCTTCTCAAAGAGTTCTAAACCTTTCTTTATATTTCCCCTGAAAATATAATTAATAAAATTTGTTTTATTATAGTTAACAGTACCAATGTAAATTGTAAATAAGATCATATTAATTGTTTATATTTGTAGATTGCCAGTCCAAAAAGTAGATTGCCAGTCCAATAGGATTCAGCTTTTTATAGACAATAAATCTAAATAGAGCAGAGCGCCAATTATATCTGGTGCGGATTGTTTGGGAGTTTCGCAAAGAGATCGAAAAGCAAAACCAAGTGACTGAATTTTTTAAAAATCAGTGACTGAATGCTATTATGTATAAACTTTTATGAAGTATGTTATATGTTTAAAATATATACATTTAAAAATTATTTTTGGCATTTTCACCTTACTTTTAGGGTTTCTTTTTTTTCCGAATTAACTGTAGTGACCTTGCTAGCAGATTCCGTGGATAATCGAGATTCTACTGTATTTGTTGCAAGGAATTAATTGTACACTTAACATTTGAAATTCAATGGGTAAGACAAAAGCTTAATACAAAGGAGCATTTTATATGAATTATGCAAAATGAGGATAGATCTTATGCTTGAGGATTAAAGACTTCAACACGATCGGACACTTAATTCAACCTTGTGAAGAAGCTAAGCTTGATATCTTTGACTCAGAATTTTTTTCTGGAGAATAGATGATGAATTGTGTAAATCTTTTAAGAAATACTTTTAGAGCTTACATAATTTTAATGAGAAAAAAAAACTAAGCAATAAAATTTATTGATTCAAACTAGATTATCTGGTTATAAAAGCAAATTGTAATTATGTATTTTTAAAACAGGAATCTTTCATATTTGTTTTTGTAAAATACAACTTAATGATAAAAAGATATAAGAATGAGCATAGACTTCCATAGACATTATTAATAATGTCAATGGAAGTCTATGTTTTTGTACATTAATTATAACAATTAAAAATTTGAAACAAAACGTTTATTTCACAGGAAAAGAGAGTTAGTTTAGCTTTATTCTTATTTAGCACAAAGTTAAATGTAAAAAATCCTTAATTATGTAGTATAACTGGCATTTCTTTGTTTAACTTTACTAAAAGCCTTTACTTGTCAGAAAGATATGTCTGCCAAAAGTAAATCTTAATTATTCATCGTTTTTACCTATAATTAGTTATAACCTCACCTTATTATTTATAGTTTAATATTTTTGTTTCTGAAATTAATAAAATTTAGCTAGACAGAAGAATTCTAAATTTCATTAACATCCTCAAATGAAATCATATTTTTTTTTAAATATGCTTTGACTTATTAATTGCAGATTTAAAAAAAAAATTGACTTTTTCCTAATCATGCGTTCACTCAAAAACTCTCAATTTCTTCTACTAGAGAAAATTTTTTTAAACTTCGTAATAAACTATCAATAGCCTGATTTAAGACATGCTACAAAAGGATTTTATAAATGTTGTAATTTGTAAATTTTGTCTTTCAGAGTGACATACAACCCAGTCACCACGAACTATCAAAGTCAACATGGAACAAGTATTCAGAAAAGACAGGTGGCAGCGAGGGTGCCTTTTAAAAATATAAATATTCATCACAAATGTTCCAACATTATTGGATTATAAAACCGGTATGGAAAAAAAAATTGTTTAAGAAACTAAAATATATAAGCATGTTTTTAATGTTACAATTATAAGATCTTTCTTTTGGACAACAAAGATTAAAATATTGTTATTTAATGTAAATAAATAAAACCTTTTAAATTGCTTAATAAAAAATTTCAGCAGGATAATGCACAAAAATTACCTTTGGACTTCAACAGATCCTAATGTTTCATAGCCAAATTGACATTTATCATCCATTTCAATAGCTTTGTTGAAAAGAACAAGAGCTTTATCAACATCTTCTTTCCACTGAAGGGCTAGAATACTAAAACAATAAACAAATAGAAATTAAGATATTGAACATAATAGGGTATCTAATGACTCTAATTGACACTGAAAATACATTTGACATGACGATAATTTTGAATATACAAATTTTATGTTCCTCTGTCAGTTGGATGGGGGAAAAAGTCAAAAGATTAATACATTAACATACATCACAAAACTTTGCTTGACAAACCAGAAAATTCTAATTATCACTAATTTATTTAAATAAAAATATTTTATTGGTAAATAAAAACTATACCAAAACAATTTACTTAGTCCAGTGACATTAATGTGACTGATACCTACTTTTGAAGTTATCTTGAAGTAACCAATCACAGTAGGCAAGTGGCAGCATATTGCAGTGTATGTAGATAAAGGGTGAAACGGTGTCCAAAGGGATGGGAAAACATTGTAATTACTGATGCAGAAGCAAAATGATTTATCGAGCATCCAAAAGAGCATGATGATTAGCTTTCAGGCAAGGGAAGAAGCATTTCTGAAATGGCTAATTTTGTAAACTGTTCGCCTGCTGCCATGGTAAAAGTATACCCTGTATGCATCAACATGCGTACACATCTGTCCTTGACAACCATGTCCTCCCACATAACGTATATGTTAATTACTTTTCCTCAGGATGATGGCAACTTACAGCAGGACAATGTGATGTGCATGCATATCACAATATACAAGTGTGCTTCAAAGAGCATCAGAATGAAATTACTGTACTTCCCTGGCCACTTAACTCCCCAGACTTAAACCTGACTGAGCATTTATGGGATCACTTCAATCAGATTGCTTGCAACATGGATCCTCAACCGTGTAACCTAACGCAGCTGGCCACAGCACTGGCTCAACATTCACTGAACACCTTTAAAAGCCTAATTGACTAACTGCAAATTCCCCAGCAGTCTGCTTTGCCAAAAGTGGTTATTCCGGCTTCTGACACATGATCACATTAATATGACTGGATGGTACATAACTTTATTAATTTTAAAGTTACTTTCCTTAAAAGATAAAATTTTCTAAGATCCTAGTAAAAAAAATCTTAATAAATAAAAAGGAACTAACTTTTTTGAAAGACATTTCTAAAAAAAAAGTAAGTATTGAAAATAACAAAGGGTTAAAAGCCATGGTATCTAAGAATTTAAAAAAGAATAAGCAAATAATTACCCTTGGTGCACAAACACATTAGGGTCATTAGGATCCAGTTCTCCAGCTTTTTTAAAATATTTCTCTGCTTTTTCATATTCACCACATTCAATCAAAACCTAGTGAATAATTCATAATGTTACTTGCATCAATTTCCTATCATTAAAAATATAACAATGTATTTTTAAGCACTACCTATATGAAAACCTTAAAAATCTACTAAATATATTTCTACTAAATCTAGTAGAATCTACTAAATACACTGACTCTACCCCTATAATATTAGAAGTCCATGTATGTAGTAAAGGTTTTTCTAGAAGGTTACAAAAAAAGCTATTTTCCACTCATTTAAAAAACTATTTATCTGAGTGAAAAAGCTAAAATAATATGCAGATAATACAGGCTATACCTAGAGTCACATATGACATGAAATTGTGGGACATGCTGGGCAATTTTATATTCCTATTGAAAAATTTGCTTTTCGTTGCTATGAATAAAAACAATTTTAAATAAATGAAACAATTTGTATTCATAACAAATAAGTAAAAATACTAATAAAAAATTTACTTTTAAATTAAGAGTAGAAAAACTACTTAAATGTATTTGAGCCAGCAAGTGATAATTTTGCCAAAACTTGCTTTTACTGGACTATGATGATTAGTTGTTTTATCTTGTTAATTTTTTAGCGAATGTAACAGAAAAACTATAATGGCTAAAAAGAGTAAGATAATTTAACAACCAATAATTTTAATTTCCTTAAAGCTTTCAATAAAAGTAATTGTTGTTAAAGTGCTGACTTAAAAATTAGAATCTTCAACATTTGCCATTGTTAAATAAATACCAAAACAGCAAACCTAACAATTTCTCATATTATGCAAACAGTACCTTTAAATACAACAAATACTTTTAAAGCTTATTAAATTATAGTTTGGGTACAAAAATAATGAAAAGCATTTCTGTCTAGACTATTTCAGATTAATTTTTTAAACCATTTAATTTGTTCAGATATTCAATTTTAACAGTTTTGGTAAGAAATGTTAAGTATTTTAATAAAAATATTTTTATTAAAAAAAGTATTTAGCATTATTAATACATTTTATCAGAACTTTAATCAGAAAATATGAAATAAAATCGGATTTAAATAAAAACATGATTATTTTTAGAATAGTAGTACAAATTAACTTAAAGAGTAATTGAAAGTTTTTTTGTTTATAACAGCTGTAAAGAAGTAAAATTAGTTATGAAAAAAAATTATATTAATATATTCAGCTTCTCTAATCCCTGTAGTTTGTTTAATATTATTTCAAATTATAAAAATGAACCTTTCAAATGAAAAAAAAACAATGATACTTTTTAACATCATAAGAGAGAAAGTAGATTTCATTATTCTACCTGAGCATAGAGGAAGTAGCTTTCAGAACAGAGAGGAAAATTTTTCTCAATTTCATCAAAACCTTTGAAAGCAGATGCTTTTTGATTTTCATCATTGAATTGAATTCCGCAACGGTACTGTATATAACATTTTTGTGCTCTTGCAGATGGGAAATTAGGGTTCAGAGAACAACTCTTTTCCATGTCTTTCAAACACTCCTGAATTCGTTCCATAAGCACATATACCTACAATTAATTTAAAAAATATATACATATTAACAAATCTAGGTAACAATTTGATGGAAGTAATTAATTGTTAAAAAGAATATTTGTATTGAGTTACAATTCTTTCAAGTTAAATAAAATTAGAATATCGTAAATATTATTTACATATCACCATTAATTCTAAGTTGCATATTTTTACATGTTTATTACACAAATTTTCGAGGTCATGACAAAATATTCCTTGAGTAGAATTTTCCAAAATGCATTTCTCTGATAAAACTATGCCTGTAGAATCCACATACAAACAAAAGAAATGTATTATAAATAATTATCTTAGCTATAAATGTGTCTAATATCTAAATCCATTTAAGTAGAAAAACAAATTGTGTCATAAGTTTTAGTGCTATTATACCAAACAATTAAATGCACTAATTTAAAACAATACTGAAGATTACTGACATGGCTTTAAAAATTAAAAACGAACAAGAAACCTGCTTTAAAAGCAAATTTCTCGATAAAAAAAATGCATACAAATAAAAAAGTTCAATAAAAATAATAATTATTTAATAATGGTGATGGCAGCAAGGGAAAACAATAGATTTAAATACAAAACAAATAATAAATGGGAAAAGTAAAACGGATTAAAAAAAAGACACATACTTGTCCTCTATGTAAGTAAATATCAGCATTATTTGGATCTAATTGGATAGCTTTGTTAAAATCTTCTAAGGCTTCCTCCATTTGTTCTTGTTGAACTTTTAAAGAGCCTACTTTAATAAGGCAGTTTACTCTCACCTAGAAAAATAAATAATTAATAAAGAATTAAACAAATGACATGCATACAAACCGGAGTTATGATTTTTATAGTAAAACAAACACAGCTTAAACTTTACATTTGGAATTTCAGAAATAGTTTGCACAAAACTATTTAATAATCTTTAACCTACTTAATAAAAAATATGAGATTTAATCAAATGTAAGATATAAAATTAAAAATACATAAAAGATAAAATGAAATGTCTAATTAGAATTCAGGTTTGACAAAGTGTTGGATACAATAAAAAAAAAACTGCAGTAAAATCTACGGTTTTTATGGTGAAATTTACCAATTAATTTTTAAGTATTGTATTAAAATTTCTGTGATACTTAATACTTTCTCAGTAAACCAGTAGGGCTTTTTGAAGCAGAAAAGTCACGAACTAAGGAAACGTAAAAAGCTGGAATTAATGCTTAGAGCAGGGGTTGCCAAACTTTCTTGATCATCGACCCCTACATAATTTTTCGAAATCTCCATCGACCCCCATAAAAGTAATTTTCTGTTAATTAAAATAAAACTCTATTAGATACTGTGTTTGTACATTTATTTTATGATTTTGAACATTTATTAAAGTAATAGTACATAGTGTAACAATAGTTTTATGAAAAATATATTAATGTTGAAATATAAATACCTTAATATTTATGAAATAATAAGTAATTATAAGTAAGTAGAAATAATAAGTAAAGTAACTACGGATTTATTGCTTCTTAATCAATGACATGGGTGTGCCTGGTGTTTTTTTTTCTGCAAGGTTCGTTATATTGGGTTCAAAATTGGTCAATTTTAATCTTAAATCCCCTCGAAACTCCACATTTAATTTATTTCTGTTCTTAGTTAAGATTGAATTTACGTGACTGAAACCGGCTTCAACCATATAGGAACTTGGAAATGCTATCATAAATGGCTGAGCTATTTCGTAAAGTCTTACATATTTTTGCATTATATTTATATTTGTCCAAAATTTGCTTATTGTTAAATTTTTAAAAAGCGTCTTTGCTTCAAATCCCTATAATAATTCAGCAAGCTCATCTTGCAGGTTGATGTCCACGTTTTCAATTTGAGCAGAAAATGGCACAATAATCCAACTAGGGATGTCAATGTTTTCCAAATCAACAAAACGCAGTTTAAAATCGTCGCTCACTTTTTGAAGATTACCTGTATCTATTTCCATGTCTTCTTTTATTTCTAATTGTCACATATCTGAAAAATACTGATAATCCTTCGACCAATCGACCCCCTGGTTCAGATCGACCCCATCTTATGTAAATAGACCCCTGGGGTCTATATAGACCACTTTGGCGACCTCTGGCTTAGAGGGTCAAATGATAGAAATCATAGGTTTTAAGATTCTGTCCTAAGATGTTTTAACTATCAGTATGATAAAAAAAAAATCTTATATCTCTTACTAACTCTTATATATATAAAAAAAACTCATATCCCTAACTAGGTTCTGTAGTAAATGACAATGTCAATTAAAAAAATTAGGGAATCACTAAACTACTGTTCTATAATGTATTTGCATCTATTTTTTTAAAATCTATATTGAAGATCTAAATTTATAGATTACCTTTAAATATAAACTTTTAAATCGTAATAATAACATAAGCTACTTTAAAACTAAGCAAAATACGAAGAAAAACAATCTTATAAATAGTAACTGAAAATAGACATTTTGTGAAAGTTAAAACAGAAACATCATACCTTTACATCAACACTTTCTAAAGCAAGTAGTTGGTTTAAATCACTTAAAGAATCACTGATTTGACCTTGAAGAAGTTTGAAAGTACCCCTAACTAATAATGCTTCAGCCATATCTGGACCTTTCCTCTCAATTTCAACATCACAGCATGGCATAATTTCTTCAAATTTTTCTTCAGCAAAATGATGAATGACTAGTCTAAAACCACTAGAAAAACAACCGCTTAATTCAGTACTTTCATAAGCTATACACTATAAAATTGAATTCTTATCTCAAAATCATTATCTTTTAACCATTCTTTCAAGTGCATGATTTGAAGGTTTGAGACACTTTTTTCTTTAAAATAGTGATTTAAATTAAATAGAATATGTTTCATAATTTATATAGAATATGCTTCATGCAAAAGAATATGTTTCATAACAAATCACTATTTAACTGTACTTAGATGTTACCAAAGAAAAACTCGGAATTTCATCTAGATACATAGATAGTTTTGTGAACTTTTGTTTACTACAATCTAAATTTCTTTGTATTTTGATCCAAAATAGCAATTTTGTATTTAAATTGTGAAAAAAAAATATGCAAGCAAAATATTTAACAAAAAACTGATTTTAGTTTTCAAAAATACAAAGGATGTTACATTATTTTATACCAACATTATTTTAAACTGTCCAAAACTAGAAAATAAATTACGAAACATTTTTTATTGAAAATATTTATCGCAGAGAGAGAGGATTATTGGGCTTTTTTTATTGCAGAATCAAAATCGTATTCTTATAAAATTACAACAAATAGCATTTATATTAAACAGCAATTTTAAAACTTTAGATTTGGGTATAAAAAAAATACCACTAAGACTAAAGAAAAGCCAAAATCAACACACATTTTCTTAATTGGCTATATACCCATGATGTGCAAACAGAAAAATTTCGACTTTTCAAAATGCACTGGCATTGGCAAATTTCAGAGAAATGCTGTGCTTTAATAAACAAAAAAAAATAAGTACAGTCAAAGCTAATAAAAAAATAATAAAGGGTGAAAAAACTATTCAAGTTATGCAGTAAAATAATCAAACGTAAATAGAAAAGTAAAAAACTGAGATTACAAAAAAAAAAAATGCAAGCTATCAACATAAAAACTTACTTAAGAACTATTTGTTTTTAATATTTAATACCAAAATTCTTAGTATCTCATATGACTATATATATATCATAAAAAAGGTGCACTATAATAAAAAGCCAATAGAAGAAAATAGTTATAGAAAATATCACATATAATAATAGAATAAAAAATTATTATATGTTCAATTAAAAAAAAATTATGCATAGTTTTTTTCCTCTTTCGTTAACAAAGCTTATTATTTAAAATTCATAACGGATATGTTTGTTATTATTAAAAGTATCTTGCAAGAAAGATATCAATGGCAGAGTTTTGTCGCAGATAGCTCGAAAAAATTCTGCGACAGGCGGAATATCTTATTCGATTGCATAAAAACTGTAGCTTGCAGAGAGAAATGGATTGCAGATTTCCAGGGGTAGCAGCAAAGTTTTTTAAAATTTTAGGGTAATTTTAGGAACTTTTTTCAAAAAATTTTAGGCAAATTTTAGGGGTAATATATGATTTTGCTAGGATAAAAACAGATCACACGGTAGTTTATTACATAACAGAAGATTATTACAATTCATCCACACATATCATAAATAATTGCAAGCCATAAAATAAAGCTCTGAAATTTATTAAGTCAAGAATGAAATCTCTAAAGTGTAAAAATGAAATTTCAACTTTACATATTACCTATCAGAAATTAAGTGCATAATTCAGGAACAGGCAAAAGTGAGAATAAATCAAGAGAAAAAATAAATTAACACCAACTTGGATTNAACTACTTGTTTTTAATATTTAATACCAAAATTCTTAGTACTTCATATGACTATATATATATCATAAAAAATGTGCACTATAATAAAAAGCCAATAGAAGAAAATAGTTATAGAGAATATCACATATAATAGAATAAAAAATCATTATATGTTCAATTAAAAAAAAATTAAGCATAGTTTTTTCCCTCTTTTGTTAACACAGCTTATTATTTAAAATTCATAACGGATATGTTTGTTATTATTAAAATTATCTTGCAAGAAAGATATTAGTGGCAGAGTTTTGTAGCAGATAGCTCAAAAAAATTCTGCGATGGGCGGAATATCTTATTCGATTGCATAAAAACTGTAGCTTGTAGAGAGAAATGGATTGTAGATTTGAAATGAGAGACACAAAAGTATCTCTGATCCATTTAGAGAACCCTTGCAACAGGAAATTGAAAAAATTTGTTCTTAAGTATAATTATTTTACAGTGCTCTTACTCAAATTTCTGTGACCATGGACCAACGGACCACCGTTAATTTCCAACCAGTAATATTTAAAGCTCCTTGATAGGACAAAGAAACGAAGAGGCTCTATATCTGACTGTATTAATGTTTGGATCAAGTATTGCATTTAGACAAATATCCATTATCAGATAGACATGTTTTGCAAATGCAATGAAAATGTCGATTGTGTTTTAACAAAACTGTACATTAGCATATAATATTGAGCAAGAAATCTTTTGAAGAATTATCTTAAATAACTTTTAGTGAAATATCAGATTATTAAATTGACAGTTGTAAATAGTGATATATGATTTAAAAAGAGATAAATTGCATCCTGTAAGAAAATAGCTTATGGTAGTCAATTGAAGATGTATCAGGTATTTAGAAATTTGTTTTTATATAGTTTAACTTAATTTTCTAAATAAGAATTGCTGAGAAAACTAACAAATCTGTACTAATCATATCAACAAATAGAGATTCAAAAATTGAACTTTTTTAGTGCTGCAGCTACAAATTTAACATGCACACTGTAAAATGGGACATATGCACCAAAATCAAAAATTAATAATTTAATTTAGAAACTTTTTTAGTTAAATATGCTAGTTTTTGCTGCCAAATAGTATCGAACAAAAGATCAAGAAACTTAAAACTTAAGCATGAAAATTTATTATTTCATTTATTTTCAAATTAATCATATAAATAATAATATTTACATGAATTCTTAATGAATAACTATCATCAGTTGGGAAACAATGCAAAACGTTAATTATCAAATATTTTAATATAACTTGTTCATTTTTTAAATTCTGATTAAAAAAATTACCTCAATTCAGATGGATTTCTTTCCTTCATCTGCTTTTTATATTCCTCTACAGATTTCATAATAGGATCTTCACTAAATGAAATAAAGTAATGACGTATAAAATGCTTGGATGGCAGGCGTGGAATTCTTTTCTGAAACACAAAATTAGATCATTATTTTAGCACAGCAAAATAAAACTGTCATTAATAACAAATTAAAAGTAATTAATAATTTTGAAATCCTAGAAAAAAAAATTTATGCACACATTTCTTAAAATATCTTAAAACACAATGTTACTTACACTGAAAGTTTCTTTTGCTTCAATTTTACTCAAATCCTTTAGAACTTTATCAGTAAGCTTTAAATATGCTTCAGTTCTAAATGCATCAAACATGCACAGAGCAGTTACATCTGAAAAGATTTAAATTATGCTTAATTGAACAAATAAGTCAAAAATTTAATTTAATTTAACATATAAAACAGAATAAATAAAAATAAAACAAAAAAAGATTCAATTTATGATGATTTAAAAAAAAATTATAAATAACTCAGAATGATAAAAAAAAAAAAAAAAAAAACTAAANAAAAAAATAGACTTAAAATGTAGTAGGACTGGACCTGAAGGTCTAAAAAATTCACTGGAATATCTGAATTTTTTTTATATTAAACAGCTTGAATCCATGATCAAGTAAAAAAAGCTTGAGCAGTTTCATGCTCAAGCTTTTTTGTTTTATAGTGATAACTAAAATGAAATCAGACCTGTTTGATAGAACTAATAATAAAACCAGATTTGAGAAGAGTGATTCAATATTGAGGCATAGAGAAGTCATGTAAATTGAAATATATACATTTTATGATTTAAAAAAAAGTGCAGTTATATACACATGAAATATTGACATGGGAGAATAATTTGTAAAAAAAATTATCCAACTCATTAGGCTTATTTCATTTTTTTTTTTATATAAAATTTATTATTTGGGCAGATTTATCATCAACAATAACCAAATCTTTACAATTCATATTAATTTTACAACAAAAAATCTTCAATTCTCGAGTGCTATTAAAGCTTAGCCATTTTTAATTAGATAATGTCATAGAATTTTCGGAACTGATTTGTCATGTATCTACACCTGATGTGTGAATTGTTTGCTTGCCAATCACTTTTGGCTCATTTTTTTTCTTGGGCCTCTAACATCACATTCCAAAACTGGAATAAAATATTGCAACCCAGTTAAATTCAAAATTCAGTTGTATTATGTTAATTTTTTAACACAAAACATGCATTCGCCATGCACAAAACTGCAGATCTATATCAAATGCTAGCCTCAAACAATTGTTTTGTGTCTGCATAAAATGTGTATCTTATTTCATTTCTTCAAGATACCTTGAAATTATACCAATGAAACTATATAAAGCTTTGTTTTAGCAAGTGTACAATAAAAAAATTAACTCTATGGACATAATAAATCTTTTCACATATAACAAGTTTACTTCTTAACACACACTCAACTTGCCAGCCATTCAAATTCAAAACAAAATTCTTCTAATTAAAATAAGTCTTGCACTTGCAACACTTCAAGCGATTCGTACTGTTTATCACTTTGAGCAGATTATGCGCATCACTTCAAAAGTAATTTGAATATTCTTTATTTATCTGCGTAATGTAGATAGATTGTAAAGAAAAAAACCTGGAAACTTTAAAAAAACATCAGTGTGGTGGATTTCTGGGAAAACTTATAACTGGCTATTGAGCTTACTGTAATAACAGATTACTATTTTGCGCATCACTCCAAACTCTACTCTAACACTCAAGATTATTACAGTACACAACATTGCCAATGTTGGTATGAAAAATTTTGAAAAATGAGTGCTAACGCATAACAAATCTTAGCCAAACCTTTATGTACATGGTATCTGCTACATTCTAAATTTTCAAATTTATGACTTTCCATGGCTAATTCCATGAACTTTTCATGACTTAACGAAGTTATTATTTTCTCCGACAAAAACAGAATAATAAATTTAAAAAGCATAATTAAAATTATAGGTATAACCAAAATTGTTATACTCTACATCTTCATATTTATTGATTTTAAAAAAAAAAAACAGAGTAAAGAAAGAGTTGAAGCAATAAAATAGCTGAGTGAATATTTTTTTTTTTTCTGCAGAATTATATTCTAAATATACTTTTCCTGTTCATCAGAAAGGAAAGAAATACTCCTGATTTTTCTGTTCTCATTTCGGAGTAAAAAAAGTTTGCCAATGGCTGGCTTGCTTCAGCTAGAATTTTAAATTGATAAAATAAAAAGAATAATAATAATTCTGAAATCACAGAAATGTAAAAGATACTTCATTCTAGAAATAAAGTTTTTTTCCTTCATTTTCTTGAAAGAACACCATAGTTTTTAAAGAGCATGATAAAAATCTTTTCATATTTTAATAAAATATGATTTTGAGTGTTGATTTTGCTACAAATTCAGATATTCGAAACACCGTAAAATTGGGGAGAGGGAGTTAAATTCTCTTTTAAAAATTAGATTTTTCAGTGACCTAAATCCATGACTTTTCATGATTTTTCTTTTAAAAAAATAGTTAAAATCATGACATTTCATGACTTTCCAGGTGCGCGGATACCCTGTATGTAAGACACTCTCCTTACATTTTATAAAGAAATTCAATTTCTTCAAAACACTTCCACTTATTACATTAATTTTGCTAAATGCAATATAGTCTAATACAAAGCTATGTTTGTCAAGACAGGACACAGATTTATGTACGCAAAGAAGAAATTTATTGTGTGGCCTTTCCTCACAGCACAAAAAGTCCAGTTTTTATAATATATTTTGCAGAATTTTTTAAAGATACAAAAGAATTTTCAACAATTTTCTTAAAAAGGAAAAAAATTAAAATACTAAACAACTAAAATTCTTTACATTTTGCTCTTCAATCATACAAACAAGTTATGCTCAATTATTATGCTTTTTATAATTGTGCATAAAAATATATATTCAAAAACTAAAATGTTATTATCATAATTAAAAACAAACCTTTACATTACAGGAAAAATAGGAAATACTTATTTGTAATACAGAAAACATTACCCTCTAAACATTTGTGGAGTTGGGCAGTAGTTTCGTATGCTTTAGCTCTCCTATATAAAGCCTTTAAGTATGTTTTATTATGCTCTAAGGCTTTTGTAGTATCATTTATAACTGCTTCAAAGTTTTTCTAAAATGTAGGGAAAACAAATATTAGAAAGTTTTAATAAAAATAAATTTTGTATAAAAAAATTGCAGTAAAAACAGATAAGTAATATATAACATTAAAAACCAAAAAATACAGAACTTAATCAAACAGCTCAAATAACCAAAATTTTTAAAAATTTACAAAAAAAAATTTTTTTTTGAAAAATAGAATTATTGGATTTTGATATGAATACATAAAATCTAATTATTTTTTGCATTTTAATCAAAATGTTAAAACAAGTAAAATCTGAAATAAAAAGAGATTGTTTGAGCATGACAATATTTTTGATATAAGATTTGCATTAAACGACCCTAAGAGAATTATATTTTTTCTCTCGTTAACATAAAGAACTTTGATTTATCAAATAATATTTTGAAGAGAAATTCAGTAAAATAATTTTAAATGTAAAATGATAAGGAATAAATTTCTGTCATGAATAAATAGTATCTGTTTATAAAAATATTAAGTAACTCAGAAAAAAATTAAAACAAGAAATAATGATTATTATTATATTGAACCACATTTAAACATGCATCAGAATATATTTCAGTCTTAAAGTTTCTAATTATTTTGTGAGTTTTTTATTCATTGCCACTAAATATTTAAATTTTAACAATTAAGAAAAGCATACAACATGCCAACAAAAATTTGATTAACATTTGACAGTCTATTACAATCAACCTGAGCTAAGCAAAAGGGAAAATCAAACATTGATATTACAATAAATTCACATCATTTGTCAAACTTATCAGTCTACTTACTAAATTCTCATATGCAGCTGCTCTATTTTGATAAAATGTAGCTAAATCATCAGAATGGTCAGGTGGACACATTTCAATTGCTGAGGTGTAGCATTCAATTGCTTTATCAAACTGTCCTTCTTTAAATAATTTGTTACCCTTATCTTTAAAAGCTTTTGCTTTCTCATAAGGAGTCTATGAAAATGAAAATAACGAAAATCAATATTTTAAGTAGAACAAATAAAATTATTCATGAGATGTAATCATCCAATTTAAACAAAATCTTACCCTTTTTCTTATATTTCAATTGTTTAGGAATAGACATATTTGTTCAATTGCTATATTAGTCACATTTGTTCAATTGCCGAGTCAACCACAAGAACTTAGACTTGAAGAAATGCCAGTGATTTTCTTGGCACCCTTGTAATAAAGAGCCTGATATTGCTATATTGCGTTAAAGGCTATTTCAAAAACTATTATTATACTTCTTTTAATTTCTTGATTTTAAAGTAAATAAGCTTAAAAACCATATTACCCAACCTATAAGTAAAACCCCCATTTGGTTATGAAACAAATTTCTAGTATGTCAGGTGTAGAAGTCGACCGTTGAAAATACAAAAATTTCTAAAATTAATAAGCATAAAAAAAATTATTACAGCTACAAAATTTTCTCAAGTTAAAAATATTTCGCATTGTTGCATTGTTCTCTCTGGATATGATACATTTGCCCTCCAATAAAGATGCTATGAGACGCCCCCTCCCTGCATTTTTAAATACTGTGAGGTGACCAATTAATCAGGTTAATTTGTCGTTTTATGGCATGTTTTAAAAGTTTTTATTGTGTTATATTTTTTGAAATACTTTTGAATAAATTATTTTACCGTTTCGTATTCTTAATTTTTTATTCCGAGTTCAATTTAAAGCATTGTTTCTAAAAAAAATCCTTTATACATGAAGAAAATATACAATAAAAGGCAAAATAAATTGAATAAAACACAGTAAAAAGAAAATTTTTTTAAAGGGGTTTGTTGATATATTCATACCTAGATTAGCATAATATACACAAATGTGCAAACACCATTTGGAGAAAATTTGTCAACATCACGGAATATTTATAACCTAAGTAAAAAAATTTATTTTTTGAAAAAATCATGAATCCCCTTTTCTACCTAGCAGTCCATATTTTTTGCAGATAAAAAAAAATACAGTCAGTACCGCCTATATGGTCAATTTTCTAAAGTCCCGTCTAACTTAATATAATGTGTAAAGCTCACCGCTTATACGGTCATCCTATTTTTCGAGTTACCGGTTATATGGTCAGTTTCCTTTTTTTTTCTTTTGAAAAAAGATACATTTTAAGACATTTCATTAGACAGGAAACCAAGAAAAATGACCAGTAGGTAAACACATTCCTTCGACCCCCGGAGAGAACTGGAATTTCCCCCTCTATTTCGTCACCCTACCCTCTTTTCACTTTTGCATTCATTGATGACCGTACCCTCTCTTCATTTGACCACTCGCATTCTTTTCCCCGCCCAAGGGCAAAAGATCTTTTGATCGTTTGAAGTTATCTCTCAGAGCTTGAAAAGGAGTTGAAGTTGAGAGAAAAGAACATTTTTATTGGATTACTGAACGAATAACGTATCCATGCTTTCATTATGGCTTCGAAAAGAAAGAATTTAACAATATCGGGGAAAAAATGAATTGGTTGAAAAGTTTAAAAAGTCTAACCTTTCAAAAGCTACTTTCGCCAAAGAAAATTCTATACCGCGAACAACTTTAAACAACATTTTGGCAGTCAAACGTAGATCTCCAGATGTTTTAATTAGCGACCGAGAAAGCAAACGTCAGCATGTGTCACCTTATGAGAATGTGGAGAAGGCTCTTCTGTCATGGATCAAATATGCACGATCACAAAATGCTCCTATATTCTAAAAGAAAAAGCTTTAGAAATAGAGAAGCTTTTAGAGAAGAGAAAGCTTTAGAATCAAATTTTGTTGCAAGCAATGGCTGGATACAGCGATTCAATGCAAGAAATAACCTATTCTTTAAGAAATTGTGCGGAGAAGCTGCTAATTTTGACAACAGTTCTTTAAAAGAATGGAAAGACGTAGTGTTGCGAGATATTCATGAAAGATATGAACCTGCCAACGTGTTCAACGTCGATGAATGTGGACTTTTCTATAGGATCTTACCCGACAGAACCCTTTGCTTCAAAGGAGAAAAATGTATAGGCGGAAATAAAAGTAAGGAACGCTTAACAGCTTTGCTATCTGCAATCATGGATGGTTCGGAGAAAATGATTCCTTTGGTGATTGGAAAATTTCTGAAACCGAGATGCATGAAAAATTGTAAATCTTTCCCCCTTTTGTACAATGCCAATTCCAAAGCATGGATGACCCAAACGATTTGGGAAAAAACTCTCAGAAGGTGGGACCTACATTTTTTAAAGAAAAACAGAAAAGTTGTATTGATTGCTGATAACTGCACTGCTCACTGTCCTGTTGAGGGCTTGAAATCGACTGAGCTCGTATTTTTGCCTCCAAACAGCACATGTGTGTTGCAGCCTCTAGCTCAAGGCATAATTCAAAGCTTCAAGTCTATGTACCTATAGAAAGATTCTTCTACGGGATATGATCACCGCCATAGACAGAAAGGAAGAATTTCACGTTTCAGCTTTGAACGCACTGTTCTATATTGACCAAAGCTGAAACACGGTGTCGTCGAAGACTATTGAAAATTTTTTCCGTCACGTGGGGTTCCACAGTTCTCCAGACTCTTCGGTATCATTAGAGGATTCTGAGGAAGACCTTCCATTAGCTGAATTGGCAGAAATCTTCGAATCCGAGGCTATGCAATGCTGGACGTAAATTTGTATTCCCAAATAGACGTTGATGTCCCCACTAATTGTGAAGCAACTGTGGAAGGCATTGTATCTAATGTCTTAAATCTGAATGCTGAAGGAAGTGACGATGAGGATGATACTGAATGCAATAAAAAGTCTGTATCAACAGCTGATGCTCTTAAGGCTAAAGATGACTTAAGGTGTTTTTTTGCAAATTCAGATGCAGCAGATGAACATTTAAAAACTATCAGGGACTTAGAAAAAGTTGTTTTAACAACCAAGAAGAAGAAACAGACAAGCTTATTAGAATATTTTTTTTTGAACATGTACATATGCTAAGGTAAAGAATTAAATTTCTCTAAAAGTATAAAAATTATTTTTGCATTCTTTCTTATTATGCACCTTAATAATTAATTTTTAAACGTTTTTGAAAGTTGAATTATTTGTTTAAAAAATACATTCTGATTCCAGAATATATTCACGCCATATTAACTATTTGGTCATCGCATATATGGTCACACCGCTTATATTCTGGACCCATGAGCTTATCATATAACCGATACTGACTGTATAAGACAAGTCAAAACCTAGCTATAATACCTTCAAAAAACTGCTCAATTTAAAGAAACGGATATATGTAATAAATCAATATAGAGTTCTATAAAAATTAACTTTTAAAAAATTAGTGACTTTCGAACAGATTTAGTTAAAATTAAGTAGTCATAAAAGGATTGATACTAGTGACAAGAACTAAGACATTGCTTGCAGAAAGTTGTTTAATTGATATTTTGTGTTCGAAGAGAGAAAGTACTTATTTTCTCTAAGTGGGATGTACTGTAACATGCCTCGTTGTCGTGCACCCTGGATAACACTAAATCTGTTATAGCATTCGTCTTGCAATCTATTCATCAATGCAGACATCTCCAATGGCCGCAAAAAGGTGTTCTTTCAAAAGCAAGAACAAAGCTAGTCTCAAAAACTCTTTTTTGGAATGTTGGTGACTTTACACAGAACAAATTTACCGAACTAAAAACCATTATCCACCAGTGGAAACCAGACGTTATTGGTGTTTCAGAGAGTTGGGCTGCTTCAAACTAATTAAAATTTTTATCCTCTTAGCCAATATCAGTCCTATTCTTTATCACGCTCAAGACAATTACCTTCTGGGATAATCATTTTTGTGTAAAACAGCCTCCCCCCCCCCAGAACTCAAAGCTGCTGCTCTTGTCACCATCAATGAAAATTACCCTAGTAACAATTGGGTACATATCTAAACAGAAGGTTTAACTGGGTAAACTACTGGACGAGACCCAGCTGGTGTTTTCTCCAGAATTTTTCAACTTAAAGAGAGTTTAAAAGCCTTAACTCAGATAATTTCGACTGAGAAATTTTTGCCATTTTCCTGGCTCTTTTTATGATCTTAAAGAGACCAGAGGGGAACTTCAACCTCTGAATGATTGTCAAGCAGCAATACACACCACTTCAAATTATGCTCATATCGCCATTGAATTCAATTACAAAACTGCCATTGACACTCTACTATCTACTTGTAAGAAAATAATTCTTCAATGGATTCACAGTGGCGTGTGGGGAAATAAAAACAAACAAAATCTCGCAAAAGAGGCATCCTTCATGGAATCCCCTGAGTCATCCGCTAAGATGAGAAATGGCAAATTCCAAATCAAACAAAAAATTCAAACTACGAAGCAACCTACAATAGAGATCAAGTTGTTGATAAATCTTGGGAGAGCCTTCTAATATCTTGTCTCCCGAAAACGCTTCCTAGAGCCATTGTAGTCTCATCCTTGCCATTGCTCACTGGACATTACTACCTTCTGCCACACTTGCACCGTATTAAACTTGCTGATGGCATTTTATGTAAGGAACATGTAGATATGAATGGCGAGCACCAATGAAACTATTCAAGCTTCAAAGATGCTTGTAGTTCTTATTTCAAGACCCTCTCCACTTCCCGAGATACTTCTTATTTGTATTGGACTGCAAGACAACTCGTGCCAGAAAGAGCAACTGACATAGTTAAATAAAAAAAATTCAAATCTGTTTAAATTTTTCTCGTTTAATTAATTTCTCACGGACCGCTGCCAAATAAAGCCAAAACTTGATTTTTTGGTAAAAGATCTCAAAAATCATTTCATTACATATTAAAGATAAATATATATTGATAATAATATACTGATTAACAGATTTGTAAGCCCGCTTGTTTTATTGTCAAATTATGAAGAATCTCATAACTTTTACAGAAATTTTAGATCATGTACCACCAATGGTTGGTTTTTAACAATGACAATTAAAATAAAACAGCAATAAAGTGCTTGCAACTTTACATCAATTTAATTTAATGGCACACTGCTAGTTTCAATTTTGAGAGTTGAACTTAAAATTATGCCTTTTAAACGATTTATTCACAACTTAAAGTGTTCTTAATATCCATGTATAAATACTGTAAGCCATAAAAAACTCTCATAAGTTAGGCATTAAAAAGGCGATTATTATTTGAATGATGCAACAGCTGATAACACTCTATAGTTGTTTTATTTTCAAGGTGACATTGTTTGGCTAATGCAACTTTTGTGATTCAAACAGCAAGAGTCAATTTTTCGAATGCTGAAAAAAATTAATAATTGAAGTTTTAAAAAAAAAGCTATTAAAATAACTTAACACATGCACATAAATTAATGTATACATGGGTTAACTTATAGAAGAACAGTTGCATCAATCATTAAATTGTATATAAAAATTTATTAAGCACTGACATTAAACTGGTGACTCGTAGATGTACAAAATTATGACATAATAATTTAACAAACCTCAGGAACCTTAGGATTGTCCTTTTTAACAGAATTCGACTTGTTAAAGAGGTTTGGTTTTCTAGTGTTGGTATCATTGTTTTGTTCATAAATATCTTCACAAGACAAATCAGAACCTTCTTGATTTTTTCGTTTCTTAAGATACCAGTACGCAATCCCAAATGCGACTGGTGTTCCTACTCCAATAAGTAAAGCTAATTGCCATTTAGAGAGCTGAGGCACATTACTTTTATTGGCGGCTGCCATATTGTTGACTAAATTGATATCACTTGCCGCTGATGCCAACTAAAATTAAAGATAAAACTTTTTCTGACATTCAATCAAAAAATTATTGCTTATGCTAGCCTCATAATAAAACTTTTATTTTTACATTTCAGATTCCATACACTATTATGAAAATAAAAAGAAAGAAATTTCCAGAATGAATATAAAGAATAAACCATCGACATTCATGGCGCTATTGCTTGGGGAAAGCCTGAATTCCGCACTTCCGATCGTCGTCAGGAGAAATAGAGAACCTGATTGGTGAATTTCTCATGGGAAAATATTTGACCAATTAGGTTCTCATATCTCCTCGATTGAATTCAGAGCCGTGGTAACAGCATGCGATGAGAATGCTCCTTCAGTTGTTCAGAATAAAAATTCGCAATCGCAACGCTCGAATACGCCATAACGAAAGAAGGCCAGTTCCAGGCTTCCTTCTTCTCCTCTGCTTTCCATATTATTTTCCGCATTCAATTGTCAAAAATATTTTCTAAAATTTCTATGTTGCTTTCTTTAACTAGTATGTTTAATGTAGTTTAGAGTTTCATGTAGTTTCCAAACTTAAAAAAAATAAATTTTTATTTGAAAATCAAGATAGAAACTCAAGATAGAAATCAAGATAGAATTTTCTTCTTCTATGACAATCCACATGCTAAAAACATGATAATGTAAGGGTGAGAAGATGCGAAGTGTTTCCATTGAGGCAGAGTTCTGCTTCCGTATCCATTTCAATCACCACTAGATTTGACACACTCTTATCATTGTCAATACTTCACAGACACGAAATCAAAAGCTCATATCACCTGCTCATTTTGTCTCCATAATAACTTTATCGTCAGCTCATAGCATTATATCCCTAACATGATCACTTTGCGGACTTCTCACATCTCTGAAACGATCATTTCATCGACATTTCGTTCCTTTGACATTATCAATTCAATTTTGATTCATACTTTCTAGCTCATTCATTTCAATGACACAGACATAATCATCTTAGCGATCATTTCATCGGCATGGTCAATTCAATTTTGATTTATATTATCTGTTAAACTTCATTTATTAATTATTATTTTCCTTTATTAAGTAAGTTTTTTTTTTATTCCGAGAAACTATTTGAATTTTTTTAATATTTAAAAATTGTCAAACGCAAAACAAAAGGCCAGAACAATATAAATCAAAAAATTATCATGTCAGTGAAATTAGCTATTGATGAAATGATCTTGTTGGTTTAATGAATTGACGGCGAAGTGATTGCAACAATGCAGATAAATAAAGATAGATATATTTTATAAATAATTATTTTTCTCCACTCTTTATTCTTGTACTAAAATCTCAAATAAAAAAAACATAATTTGATTTATTTCATTTCCTTTCATTAATGTAACAGAATTGAATGACTTAAACTTTAATTATGTAATAAACTTATTGGACTAAGAAGTGGAAAGTTGAACAAAATGACGATTTCTTCCTCTAATAATGATAAGGAAAACAAAGCACTATGAATTAAATATTTGAATAGTCACAGATAAAATACTTAGATTTGTATATTCTTCTAGAATTAGTTATAGAGAATTTCCTTCGCTTACCCTTCTAGACTACACAAACACCTGCTTTCTTATCAGTTTCTTTAATTGATTCATTCTCTTACAGATTACTCCTTCATTGTAAACATTAGGATAATCATTTTTAATAAAGTATATTTTCAAAAAAAGAAAAGAAGCATTCCTAACCAGAAAAATACACTTTTAAAAGAGTGAGAGAATTCTGGAAAGGATTTTACGTTAGCAGAGCGAGTGATGAACAAAGGACATGGAAAGGTAGAATTATTGAATAAACGGACATTAAAATGCAGAAAAAAAATTGTATTTTGTTTATTTTCAGTAGAAAAATAATTAAACTGAAATTCCACAACTATCAAGTGCTTTTTAAATCTCTAAGTCTTACATATTGAAAAGAGAAAAATAATGTTAGACATTAGGCAACTATTTAAGTAATAAATTTTAAAACGAAAAATAGCATTAATTTTTGTAACTACAGTCTATATATTTTTTATAACTTAATTGGGGGGTAATGCCTGCCGCCTCCACGTGGTGCCCCCTGGATACCCCTCACTGGGTAACTAAATGGCAGGCAAACATCATGATGAGCGAAAGAAAAACCTTGGATACGGCATCATCCGTCGCGCCGGTTAACAAGGGATGTGTTCAGGAATTAGGCAGAGGTTCCTGTTCGAAAAGTGTAATACAGTCTCCAGTAGCATATGGTAAGCCCTCGGGTGAGCCCAGTGCTAATACCGCTGCTTTGCAGTCTGCTTCGGATGCTGGTGAGGCGTCCAAAGGTTCAGGCCCTTCCTCTGTAGAAGTCTCTGGTCCCCAGAGGCACTCGGGGGACAGTGTGTCTGGTACCATTGGACTGTCCAAGAGCCGGAAGAAGAAGTTAAGAAAAATGAGGGCCATTGCGGCGAGTGGAGGAGCTAAGAGACCTAGGTCTTTTGATGCAACACCCTCTCCCAATGCGCCAACCCAAACTGGAAAGAAGCCCAGGGAGGATGTTGTTCCTGGGAAGAAAGCCCAATCCAGCGGAGTGGTTCCCCCTAGTGGGGATAGCCGAGCTGGAGAGGGGGATCCAACCGGGGGCCTCCAATCTGGGGTCTCTTTTGCCTGTGCAACTGGGTCTACCAGGATTGCTATAGTCCTGGAGGATTTTCCTCCGGACAAGCTTTCTCTGGAAAACTCAAATAAGATCTTGAAGGAAATCTTGGAGCGGACTGACGCCATTCCTGGTGGCGAAAGAATGCCCGAGATCTATAATAACCACCTCCAAAGAGGAGCGCTGGTAATTCAATGTAATGACTTTACTGTTGGGTGGATTAAAGACCACTTTAACAACAAAGCCTTGGGTAACATTAAGCTCAAGGTCATAGGGGCAAACGAGCTTCCCAAGCCCGTGAAGGTTGCCTTTAAAACTAAGGAGCAATTCTCTGACCAGAGCACCTTTTTATGGCGTCTTCAGAGACTAAACCCAGGGTTGAAGTCGATGGGGTGGAGGGTTCTGCAAAGTGCTGTGGGACCTGGCACCTCTAGATGGATCTTTGAGGTGGAGCCTGAAGACGCTGAAGCAATTGCAAGGGCTAACTTTTGCGCACTGACTGGAGTGGATCGTGGAGTTTTTAAAATTATCCACGATCCTAACAGGAAAAAAGCAGTTGAGGCTCCAACAACATCGGACCTCCCTGTAGAACCTGATGTCCAAGAGGACATGGAACAGGAGGAGGAACCTTGGCCGGCAAATTCCCCTGATTCCAAGGTAAGTTCAATTGGGGCTCTTGATTTTTCAGAGCTTGGGTTGGACTCTGGGTCAGACGTAACATTACAACCTGACTCACCAGTTTCCATGCTTGGTATTGATGAAGCAATGGAGCTGATAAAGGAAGATCTTTCTTCCAAAAAATAACCAGGATAGGAGCCATTCTGGTTTCATTCATACTGCTAACCAATGGCTACAATCAAGGTTGGTCAAATCAATCTCCATCATAGCATTGCTGCCTCAAGCCTTATGGCCAAAAGGTTGAATGATGGAGAACT